GCACTGGAACTGAAAAGGGTAGTTGTTGATGCGGCCACAGCATTCAGTGTGGCAATACTCTGGTGGCAAGGCCATTGTTGTACTGTAGAGGGAGCCGACTATTGTGGCTGAGACTTCCACTGAGCGTCTGGGTGCGCTTCGCGTCTCCCGGCTAGAGCAATCAGTGCAGACGAAAGTCAGGCTGCCCCCCTCTGTGGCACAATAACGGCTCGCTGTATTGGGCGTCTAGAACTCATGCAGAGCTTCCTTCCTCATCTCTCTGTATCATGCTTGCAGGTGATAAGCAATTTGAGTGTTGCCCCCCAGAGTAGATGGGGCTTGAGTGAGTGCTTGTGTAAAAAAATAAATAAATGAACGAATCCCAAGAATCTACATTACTAGACAAGCAGAAGAGAAGAACACCTATTCTCATTCGGAATAAGTTATCTAGAGAAGCTGAAAAGAAGAACAGACAACTGTAATTCTTCAAATGCTTATTGCTTCTCTGTTCAAAGCTATTTACGAAGTAGTCAATGTTACTAGACAACTCTGAAAGAGAAATCTGCAAAGTGCTGACCATACCACCCTGGTGTTATTGGTTTAATCTCAGGAAGAATTGCTGAAGCGTCTGGGAGAGAAACACCCGCAGCGAGAGTTCCTGAGGACGCTTGCATCAAGAGTCTCCTACACGATGTTTGGTAAAGAACATGTCAATGCAATCTTCAAGGCTGTGAAGGATTGCGAGTTTGAAAAGAACCGAGAATTGCTGTCAGGCGCAATGCAACTGCTAGTGGTGAGTGTCTGATGTTGTTTGCGGAGAATCTTTGTCGAAGTCATTGCCCTTGTGACGTCAATGCCCCCATAAAGGCACCAATATGTGTGATTATGTAGGACGGTGGCAGTATTGTCACTTTGTTTCTCATATTCCTGCTTGATCTCAGAGTTCCTGTTTTCCACGGGGGTGTTTTCCTGGGCGCTCGGGCCATTGGGACCTGCCCGCCAGACCGCCCTAGCTTGGTTGGTGGTTCTCCCTCGCATCGCCCACCGCCCTCCATAGTCATGCCATCTCCCTCACCCCTCCTGCCATCTACTCTACCTCTTGAATCCCTTGTACCATCTCCCCCATCCATCCCACGATCTATCTTTCGTCCGTCGTGCCATCTCCCTCCTTCCCGGCAACTAGCTGCCTCCTCCATTCCTGTCCCCCGCCCCCCATGCCCTCTGACCACCACCCCTTTCTCATAGGCCACATAAATAAAAAGTTGCCCAAATTTGGGCAGATCTCCGTCCCACGACCTCCCCCAAAAAACAAAAAAAGAAACATTTCTTCTTGCCGGGGGTACAGCACGGTGGGTGTGGGCTTTACGGATAACCAGCTTGTCATCTCTGGTAACCCAGGTTTTGGACCTTTGATTTTAATTATCTTTTCCATTGCAGTAACCCTGTTCAGAAGTAGCCTGGGGCCCAGAACTCAGCCCCAGGCAACGCAGACCTGGGTCGGTCTGCACTGGGCTGTGTGACCAAGACACGCCCAGGCCTGAGTCTATCACGTTTGGCTGTGTGACCTAACACTGCACACAGGAAATTCAAAGGTCAAAGTCAACTGTAGAGTCAAAGGTACTGCACCCAGGCCCTTGGTTGGATACACTCACTTGTTGTGCGCCGGTACCCAGACAAGCATCCAGGCCAGAGGGAATTCGGTTTCAGACCAATCTGGGCCCTAGTTTTCATCGAGATCTGGACGGCGGAGGATTGCAGCATCCGGGGCCCAGACCCCGAGTCAATGCTACATAAGCGCTGACTTTCCTGGCGTTGACATTCATTCGGTCTTGCGTCAATGCTGACTTCGCGCGTTGACGACACGACGCTGGTGGACACTGGCTTTGTGCTGGCATTTGGGAGATTGCGGCGACGCGCTGCTAGCTCGGCATGGTGGCTGGCTGGCTATTGTCTTCGAGGCATGCTGACGTGGCAGCTGCCACGCGTTGCTGCTGACGTGGCTGCTGCCACCTGTTCTGTCTTCTAATTGGCTGGGACTGTGTGACCGGCACTGCTGTTCTGACTCATCGTCACTCAGGAGGAGATCATGACTGTGGGGTAATCGTGGATACATACCTTATTATCTTGAGGTCGACATTGCTCCAAGTGTGCTGATGAGGACTTATTGACGTGCCACGTGGCACATTGTAGTAGGACTTCGGATATGCGTTCAGACTATTGATTACTTGAGGTGGTGATCGAGGAGGGAGCCCGAAGCAGGAGTGGGACTTTACTTCATTCCTCTCCTTTGTCTAATCTCCCTCCTCTCTCCTGCGTCTGTGTATGATTATCTCATCTCATTCTGTGTGGACACAATTTGATTATTGGTAATCATCAGCAGTTTGATATTCTGGGCTTACATTGTTGACAAGTGTCTTCACGATCTGGGTTCATTGCACCATGGTGACTCAGGGCCTATCCCCGAACAGTAATGTGTCGAGATGGTTGTCAATGAGCAATGGTCATTGGTAGGCCCAAGACTTGAGGGTAGTGGATTGTCTTGAGAGCATATGAGTGCAGGTGTGCACAGATGTAAGATGCACATTGTTGTATTACTGATTATATAAAGTTTTGCATCCAGTATATCGGCCGACGTTTCCTGGAGCTTTGGTCACTTTGGTCCAATATTCCTGCTTATTTAATTTCCTGTTTTTTGGGTCGTCTTCCTCCCCCCCCACAACCTCCGAGCCCCTTCCTTGCCGCCCATTGTGACTTCTTCCTCCCTGACCTATCTCCCTACAATGCTGTATTAAGATGGCCTGTATGAGTAATCATGGTTGGCACAATGCATATTTGTCTTGACAGCATATGACTAATGCTGTGGACACATTTGAATGCAAACTCCTCGAATTATTGATGATGCAAATTTTGCCATCCAGGAAATTGCAGGGCATTTCCCACAGCTTCTGGAGCAAACTGAGCAGGATGTTTTTACTCTATTGAAGGAGGATGATGAAATACTCAAGGATGGTGCGGCACACATACTTGCGAAGGCAGGCAGTCATATGGGGGAACTAAGTGAAGTCAAGAGGTAGGAGGATGTGTAGGAGATGAGAGTGCAGAAAATGGGCTTGCCTCAGCACGTGTTTTCACCTTCAACCCCTTTCTCAAGCATCCTCAGGCTGTACGCTGTATGTGCTTGTTTGACTTCCTGTTTTATTTGGCCGTCGTTTTTTATGCTTGTTGTGTAGTATGTGCCATCTCTCAATGTGTTTGTTGTGTAGTATATGCCATCTCTCAATTTCCTGCCTCATTCATTGGACTTCTGAAAAACGTTTCTCAAAGCTCTTCCAGCATCTCCAACACTTTTCTCTCACCATGTGAATAATATTCCACATGTATTCATGACCCCATGTACTCGTTACAAGTCTGCACATATCTGCCTGCCTTCTCATTTCCCTCCGCTGCTGTGCAGCTGTCTTCATGTCTCTGTTTACATCTATGTCGTCCCCCTCTCCCTGTTTCTGTGAGTGTCTCCCTCTTTGCCGGATTGTTCAATGGTCCTGAACACCACCATATGCACAACTGTCACGGCTTCTTCTTCTTCTCCTCCTCCTTTTTCTCTCCTTCTCCTCCTTCCTCTTCCTCTTCTCCCTCTTCTTCTTTTTTTCCAACCACGTGCCCAACAGAGAATGCTGGAGACCCTATGTTTCCTTGTGGCTCAGACCTCTGCAGAGGGGCTCTGTTGTCAGGTTCTCAGAACTATCTAGGCCCTCCCCTGTCTTCCCTCACTGTTCCCATTGCCACAATCAGCCAAAAGGAAAAAGTTGGTAGATTCCCAGCCTTTTTCTTCTCCAAATTCAGCCGCCCCAAGCGTTACCTCTCAAGCTGGCGTCAAACACACTCCCAAGCATGAATCTGGCCACAACGAAAATGCTGGGAAACCTGTGTTTCCTAGTGGCACTGAGCTTTCCAGAGGGGCTCTGCAGTCTGGTTGTCAGCACCACCTAGACGTCCTGCATCTTCCGTCGCTCTTCCCCTCCCTAGAATTAGACAGAACTAACACCTAGACGTCCTGCATCTTCCGTCGCTCTTCCCCTCCGCGCAATCAGACAGAACCGACTGGTTGGTATAATCCCAGTGTTTGGTTCCACTTGTTGGCTGTTGAGCATGAGAGCTTGGTGGGGTTGAATGGGTCCCTGTTTTTCTCTCCCTGGAATTTTGAATGACACGTTTTGTCCTGTTCTTCTTTCCGGGTTCACGACTTCAATTACTTGTCCCAGTCAGTGGTTCAATGTACTTCCTGGCTGGGCTGTCTGAGTGTACATAAAGAGGGAACAGGTCCACCCTACCTCCCATTTGGGGCAGTGAAGTGGTGTCGTGTTTTTATGTCTGGGTGTGCCTGTTCTTGTGCTGGCTCTGTTCGTCTTTTGATATGCGCACTTGCCCCAAATGTATTGATGTATGTTTTTGATATGCGTGCTTGCCCCAAATGTATTGATGTATGTTTTCCCTCTCTGTCTCTCTCTCCCACTCATTGGTTCCACTTTCTGTTCACCCTTGTTCATGCATGCAATTTTCCATCAGTCAAGTGGAATCGGTATTGATGAAGCTGTGCACGGAAGGGACAAGGAAGCAGGCCAAACACTCTGTTTCTGCAATTGCAGCGTTGACTGGCGAAGGAGGCTTGATGGTCATGTCATTGCTATACGACGTGAGTTCTTGTATTCTTTCCGGGTTTCCTTTATAGATTTCTTTTTCTTGTATGATGTATGACATGTCCCATGTTCTGTAGAATTTCTGTCCGAAAGGGACTCTTCGCTCTATTATGAGGCCCAAAAGACCCGGAATAGTGAGGCAAAGCAAACCAGGATGTGACATCTTGTCAGTGGGGGTGGGATGCTGGTACCCTTCATCAGGGAGAACAGAGGAGAACATATGCCACACTTCAAGATGTAGCACTTGTTTTCGATATCTATGGCTTGGTCAGAGCAGAGCCAGATTTGAATTGTTAAGGGAATGCTGCAGACTGGTTGTTAAAATATCGGCATCGAGGCCTTCGGTGAGTGCCCACTGTCCTCGAACGTATGCAATCTACCTCGCAGGTCCTATACAGTCGAATGTATGCGACCCATCAAAATTCACGATGCACCCTCATTATGACTGTATTGGGAACTTTGGTAAGGGGGCGTTGCGTCTTGAATGAATTTAAGCTACCTTTCAGGTTGATACGGTGAGGGTGCTTGCTGCTCTGCAAGGTTGCACTTTTCTACTTTGTTGTTTTTCTTTTTTCTTCTAGAACAGAAAGATTAGAATGACCCCTGTGCATATTAGGAATGCCAAAAAAAAAGCTACCAATCCCCAACAACACCATGCATGCGAAAACAAAGCGATGTTTCGTGTACTAGTTGTTACCTCTCTCTCTCTCTCTCTCTCTCTCTCTCTCTTTCTCTCTCTCTCTCTCTGATGAGGGATGTTTCGCATTGATGCAGTCATGATGAGGGCCGTGGTGGTGTCGGACAGGTAGCCGAAAACAAAAACAAACCATGGCAACTATCGGTTCCGAAAACACAATGCGCTGTCATCATGACTGTATGAGACCTGAACGATAGCCTGATGACATTCCAAATACACACTACAGTGACCACACACAGCCATTATTGTCAGGGCAATCCTGACAGCACAATGGCTAGGTACTAAGAGTCAGCATCAGGTCAGCTATATGCAGCACAGTGTGGCCAAGCGGAGACAATCTCTCACCTGTTTGTACGATGCCCGCAACTCCAGGCTTTTTGGACATGGTGGGGCCAGGAAGTCGCAGATAAGACGCCGCTGGAAGTTACCGAAGGGGATGATGCAGCTATCCTACTGGGTGCGTTAATGAAAGTTGATAGGCCAGCCTTTGGATACCTGTTGTCTGCAGAGATGATTTGGGCAGTGGTAGCCTTTGGAGACCTGTTGTCTGCAGAGATGATTTGGGCAGCGGTGCTGTGGGCCTGGACATTGAGAAACGAGCGCTGCAGGCAGGGAGCAGCACCTTCACTGCAGGCATATCAGGAAAGAGCGATGGAAAATTGGAGGATTGCCTTGCAGACAGTCTTTCGACGCTGTAGATATGGGGGGGGTGTGAAGGTGGAGGAATTCTGGAAAAGATGGGATCAGTACCCACACCTGTCGATTCGTGATCCTGACACAGGGCAGTTACAGTTCGGCCCTGTTCTGCTGCGTCATGTGCCCAGGCTGGAAAAGGACCCAGAATAGGAATGCTGTGGTACTTCATGCTCCAGGAGCGGAAGTGGCAGAAGTAGAATAGTTGTACAATAGGTAGAGGCGCCCCGTAGGAGGTACGTCGGTTGTAAAATAAGGATAGGAGTGAGTATGACAACGGGATGGAGGGATAGGAGGGGCGTAGCATTGGAAGGGTAAAGGGTGGAGGAAGTGAATTTCAGGAAAAAACAGGTGAAAAAGGACAGTACTTGGGTAATATGCTGGGGATATTCTTTTTAACAGGATATCATGACAGGAAGGAGGAGTGGTGATGAAGGGATTGTATAGTTTGACAGGGGGGAAGATTAGAAACAGGAGTAGATTCAATTGAAAGGCGAAACTAAGTAGGCGAGAAATAAAGGATTAGCAGGAGACGGTGGTAATGTTTTTTTGGACCGATCATAAGAATGCAGTAAGGGTGATGCGGCCTGTGAGGCTGCTAGAACGACCCTCCCCGCACCATGTCTTTCCTAGAGTCCTTCTGCTGCGTGCTGCCAGTAAGCTTCCCGGCCAGCAGAAGCTCTCTAGGAAAGCAATGTTTTTTTTTGGGGGGGGGCGAATTGTAGCAGCCCCCCCTTGAGTAGGTGGCTCGTACCGCAAGGGCTGGGCTGACCCTTTTTCAACACGTTTCTTCCGTTCTCTCTTCCTTGTATTCATGCTTGCCGGTGATAAGCAATCGGACTGATGCCCCAGAATAGAAGGGGCCGTTACATTTGAATCAAGAAACGAAAAATAATAAAAAATCAAGCAGCATTACAACAACTCCATCAACAACAATGCACAGGTGAGCCTCAACTCCACATCGAACCAACCCCCCCCCCACCCCCACCCCCCCCACATCACCAAAAAAAAGAAAGCAAGAAACCCCGTGCATGTTCTCAAATTTAAAGTTTCCCCTTTTTCTTTGCGAGCGAAGCCGCAACAGATACCCTTGTCTAGGCTGGATACCTCTACCGTCTCTTTCCTGACCGAACTCGTCTGGTCTGGCGATGACGACTTGAGGAGAATGTGGAGGAAAGTGATCTGAGAATTGTGAACGGGAAGCTGTGTAGATGAAGTTCGGGTTGCTCCAATGTCAAGGATAGCCTGAACCTCTCTCCTGTGCAGGCCTAATCAGGCCATAATGAATCTTGGACATGGGCATTGTGATTGTGAGATAATACACCAGGCACCAAGGAGTTATTATGGTCGTTTTCCTTACACTCAGCTCCTCCGCCACCCTCGAATTTCTCTGCCTCACTCTGGTGGAGCAGTATGCCCGACTGCCGGACGGATCAGCAGACTAGTTGTTTACCAAACATACACTCTTGGTCCTGGTCATCTGTAACTTCTGACTGTGCACTTTCGTACGGTGCACTAGGCCTACCTAGTGTTCCATCCTGTTGGTGGGAACATCATTGCTGTCTGATGGTCCCAACCTTTTTTCTTTTTTTCTTTTTTGGGAAACAGGTCCTTATGGTCTGGGCTCCGAATCCATTCTTGGGAGTGTCAGTCCGATTAATTTTCCCCTGGCAAGTCACAATAATACAGTGTTTAGTATGTTTACACACACATCTTCCTTTCATTAGGCCAAAGGACCCTGATCAGCATTGATTACTCGGGTAGGCGAAGAATCGACTGCCAATTTGCCTTCCTTTCTCATATTCCTCTCACAGTCAGTTAACAAAGCCGTTGAGTCTGTCTCTTGAAAGGCTAGAACTGTAGATAGAAATGCATTGGTGACCTAGGACGGGTAGCACGGTCAACTGGAAACATTGATTTCATTTCAAGATGTCTAACCAACGGTGGTTCAATGGCAGAGTGCACGGCCTTTCCACAACCGAATTTCTGGAGGTGCCGGCCAAAGCTTGAAACTTGGTGAGAGAACGAATGTTGATGGCGAATATTGCAGCCTTGTCCGTTCTGATCATCGTGGTCATCACAGCCCTGAAATGAAGTGTTGGCGTTTGCCTGTTGATGAATATAGATCTGTGGCCCAGGTTTGTGCTTTATGTCCGAATTTGAACTTGAGGTTCCTCCTGATGTTTACCCAGCTGAGTATTTGCCGTTGGATGACTTGTGCCAGTCTTTCCATTTGACTTTAGAACCGTGGAGGCTAGCCACTGTGCCTTTTGGTAGCCAGACATAATTGAACCGTGCATGGTATCCCTGCTCTGATTATGGGCTCTTCTAGATTGATTCTTTGACCTTCTGCCACCTCGGAGAATTTCTGGTTCGATAATGTCCTGGGTGCCCGTCCATATCTTTTCTCTTGCATTCCCTATATCCTCGTGTAAAATGCTGTCTTTTTTTCCAGATAGCCCAGAGTTTCACTTTCCGTACCAGTCCAAACGATACCTTTTCTGGCTTGCTGCGATTAGCGGGACTGTTGGTTGAGAGAAGTTTAATGGGTTGTTCCGGACAAGGGGAGGGGAATAGGTGGCTCCGTAGCTTCCTTACATACCACTAGACAGTATACCAAGTCTTCTTGTTCACGGTCAGAGCATCGCATACGGGCTCAAATCCCCCTGAACCCAACAGTGCCAATTGAATCAAAACGATTCCATATGCCATTCCATTTTTGGATTTTGCCTTGGGTTTCCTTTGCAGGGGCATAAAGTGTGAGGTTGTTAGCCCTTCTATACGGTCTCTGCTGTATTTTTAGATTGACACCCAAGAACCGGGGACCATGAGCTTTGGGCGTGGAGGGCAAACTCCCCTACCAATCGGGGAAACTGACCAGTGCAGCAGCTGCCCGTGCACAGCTGTAATTGGACTGTTTCAACACGTTTTTCGGCTGCAGGTCGTGTAGGTGATGCATCCTGTTAATGTCTCCAGAAGAATCCAAAGGGGGTGAGGTGTTTTCAGTGTCATAGATGCAAAATATGGATGAGATAGGCCCCACCGTGATGACATCCTTAAATAGAAATGGAGTTCGTGTAGTAGCGTGTATGATGTAGATCTTTAGCATGATCAGTGCATCCTTCCAGGCTGTCGAGGTTGAACCTCCTGATGAGTCAGTGAAAGTCTGACGAAACAGTCTGTCACAGCAGCTTGTTTGATATGGGCATGTATGTGACAAAACCAATGTGCACAGGTGCAGCCGTATGTATCAAAGGAATGTGTTGGAAAGCTCCCAGTGAACAGCATTTGTGTGGAGAACCCTGCAAGCTATCTTTGTTGATGGCTCTTTTGTTAATTGGACGAGCCGATCCTTTGCTGCTTTACTGGAAAGACTGGATATGTGAGTACCACAAAAACAGTAGGGGTCCTTTTCTCCTCTCATCATTTAGAGGATGTGCAAATCTCCACTCTTCTCATTTTGCCCTCGGTGATGCAGAAGGATGTATGTGCTCTTTCTGCATTACACCAGTTCCCACTGCATGCAGTAGTCTGTATGTGATTGTAACTTTGTGGTATCGTGGTAGTGTGGTGAATACAATTACGTTGTGTTTCTTGTCTGCAGCC